CAAGCAAATCAGCCTCTCCCTTGACTGTATCCTATGTGGATCCAGGGGCATGGGATGAGCTTTGAACCCAGGTATTGGGTGTGTGTGTGTCTCATGTTCCTCCACAAAAGGTAGAAAATTAAGCATTCACGAGGCACACATGAAATGGGACATGCCACTGTGTAACTTTTCTGTGGCCAATGGGAAAGGAGTTGTGTGGGACTTTTGAGGGGGCCACTGAGAGTAAACCAGCCCCTGTCCTCTCCCCATTATTTCTTTGCTGAGGCTGGCCAGACTACCAAGACTGTGCAAAACAAATATTCGTTCTAAGTTTCATTTAAGCCTCTGTCTGCATTTTGCCACATTCTGGCTGCTATTCAGATCGCCTAGGTTTGCAAATGGGTGCAATGCCAGAGAAAGTAATCAGTTTCAAGAAACAGTTCCCTGTCCAGTGGAAATTGTGACAAGTGCCCTCCACCGGCCAAGCCTGCCCTGCAGCTGCTTCACATTGTACATTATATTTTCCTCCAGAAAACTGATCAGATGTCTGGGCCAAGAGTTTGCAAAGTCCAAATTGAAAAGAATAAGACGTGGACTGTTAAAAATATCTCTTCAGCCTGAACCTGCACCCTTCAGAACTGTAGCTTGTGTGCTGAAGAGAGGGTTGTCTCAACCCAAACTTCCCGGGGAAGTATTCCCTAGCTTGGTCCATAAGCCAGCACTGTCATTAGTCAAATACAGTACAGGGCAATACTTTTATAGACCACTAACTAAAATCATGCCATATGCTTTTGTGGATCATGGCCCACTTCATCAGGCCTGCACTCGTGTCTTGTCATTAGTGCAAACAATTCAGAATCCCAGAAGTTCGTGGCAGATGGATTTGTCAGATGCATTTCTTAGATGTAAGTAAAGAAAGATGCAGGCTGCGTTGGGGGGAGGTGTGGTTCTAAAGTTACAGCTGTCCCTAGGCCTTTACTTACCATCAAGTCTAGAATCGTAACATTAAAAAAGGATCTGTTCTTGACACGAAATTGAGTAGATTTGTCTTTTGTGGGGCAGAAAGCAAAAGGAAGGAGAAATGCAACTGTATGTGTGTATCTACAGGTAGTTGAGATAGAGAATTCATGTTTGCTAAGCTATATCTCATTTCTGAGCAGTGGCCCACATACAGCCAAAATGGCTCTATCCACATGAGAGAGAGAGAGCAGCAGCAGGACTTGAGAGTACATGCAGAGCTAACAAAACACTCTTTTAAGGAATACAAACTCTTTGTGCCTTTCTCTTTATGGACTGTGCAGCTTGCCCAAGGCCACACAGGCTGGCTCTACTTCTGGGAGGCATAGTGGGAAACTGAACTCCCAGCCACGGAGCTATCCAGCCAGTTCTTTACAGCTGTCAAGCCTTAAACAAAAAAAGGTTTTGCTTCTAGAGTATATATGACATAAGTGCCAAACAGCATATTGCATCAAAAACATTTTTTCTTCCAGTTAAAATGACTATTTACTAAAATCCAAAATTCCATAGGCATGCGCTCAGTAGAATTTTGGACCACAGCAGAGAGGGAAAGCCAGTTAACGCTTTCCTGTTCAACCACCAAAAAAAATGGGCCAGCTCTAATCAGGAATGAGACAAAGCAAGAAAAAGTTAGAATCTCCCTTTCTTGTCGTTGTGCTTCCAGTTACATTTCCCACTCCCCATGATATTTTGACTTTAAAACAGTCTCAATTAAATGCAAAAGTACAATAAGCCTAACCTGCCATTTTTCAACTCATCTTCAAAAATATTCCTAATCTGCCCAGATCTAATTGGCTTCAAGTAGTGTTTTAGAGCCATATATAGCCCCAGATTTCTTGCAGTTTTCTATGTTAAGCATCTGTCAACAGCATTAGGTATATTCAGGTTCACTGCCAATGAATTCCTAACTGTTGGGTTACATGCTTTGTTGCTGTGGATGATTGTTGGAGGAACAAAGGCTATTTTCATGAGGTGGGAGGGTGGAGTGGGCACACAACACAATTGTAGATGTGTCCACGCAGAAGGAGGCCAGCATTCAATGGGACTTCCAGGCAACTGTGTGCAAGACTGCTGTCTTAAATTGCTTGGTGTATGGAGCTCTAACCCACAGCCATATAAAGAACTGCTCGGCTTACAGCCTGAGGTCACAGAATATATTTGCCACATGAAGTTTAATTTATGTTGCAAACAGGTGATCTCATGAGGAATAAAAATTTATACCAATGCAGTAGGACCCTTGAATATCTCTTTTTTAATAGATCTTTTTAGGCAATAACTGTAAAAACTAGGTATACATCATTTTTAGCTGCAAAATACTGCTGAAATACATCATAAGATATAATCCCATAAATACTTGTTGACCAGTATGCCCTTTTAGATTCAATGGCTGAAATCCTGTTACTTAGTGAAGTGACTCACGCTAAAATAGGCCCACTGATTCAGTGGGGTTTCAAGTGAGTCAACTCCACCATAAGTTACATTGATTCTAATGGGCCTACTCTAAAAACTGGATGCAGTTTTTAAACAGTGGTAAGCATACAGATATCACTCTTCTGAACAAACTTCACAGCCAAGCCAAACACAACTGTTTGAAGGGTTTCATTCCAAAGGAGGAGAGATTAGGATCACTTAACAATAAATTAATATATGGTCTAGATCAATTTTGGGTAACCCAGGTGTTCTTCCACTGCAGCTCCCAGAAACCTTTGCCAGGGCAACTGGTGGTGAAGGCTTCTAGGAACTGCAGTCCAAGAACAACTGGGTTGCTCAAGGCTGGGAACCACTCGTCTAGACCACACCTGCCCTTTTCTGCAGCTCTCCGGTGCCTTCACTGTCTCTCAGTGTTCCCTGGAATTTCCCTTCTAATTAAAACAAGGCAAAATAGAGTTGCCGTTGAGCACCAAACCACTATGTCAGCTTCAATATTTCAGTGATGGCATTGGCTTGTATTCTGTTCTCAAATGCACAGCATAACCACACAAGCACAGAGCAGGAGATGAAGTTAAGGCAAAACAGAGAGTTGTGTAATTCAACAGTGCAAATGAATTAATTATCTTTGGTTAGTATCCTATTCAGAGCAGACAGGCAGCCTGTAAGCTGAAGGATGTTGTCTAGCTGATCATACAACTGGTCTCCCAACAATGGGAAAATAAGACCATGTGCCAAGAGAGGAGCCAGCTATAATTTGGTGGGGAGACCACTCAACACAATCATGGAATGTAACAGGATATTGGCCTTCGCTATTAAGACAGATCCCAAATTCTTCTTTTTCTATCAGCAATCAATTTGCTGATTTAAATGTATTCTGTTTTAAATGAATAAAATATAATCTGTAATTAATTTTAATAACAGCAATCAATTTGCTGGTTTAAATGTATTCTATACGGAATAAAATATAATCTGTAATTAATTTTAATTATCTTTAAATTCACTTCAGTGGGAATAATGCAATAATCTTTAATGAACTAATAATCTGGATTATTTCTCCTCAACCCGTGTGCCCTTCTCAATTCTAGCCTGGAAGCAAAGGTGAGATAAGCTTCATGGAACCATTATCAGGTTGCTGCCCAACTGAATATTTGGTAGCTGCTTTTTTCCCTTGCAACTTCTATTAACTGGTTGTTTTGCCCTCCCACTTCCCCAGCTGTTGCATTGAACAGGACGTTATGTGAGCTGCATAACTGGAGAAAATAAATGTACTGAAGAAACATCTGCTGGAGAAGCTGTAACTGTCAACTGTCCAACTTCATCAGTGATATACAGATATACCATCACTATAGCTTGCAAGCCTGAAACCTTAAGCAAAATATCATTAGGTATTTCTTGGTTCTGAGGGTCAAACTGTGCATTAGGCAGCATATCATTAGAAATTGACAGCCCGTTTACATTCTAGAAGGTAGACATTAGTATCTGAGCAATCATACTTGCAGGTGAGGACAGCCTACCTCCTGGTGACCAATCAAAAAACAAAGCAAGCTAATTTGCAAACAGGTGTGAAAAGAGCAAAAACTGTACAGCTTTCATCATTTAAGGAATCCCTCTTCTAATGATGTGGACTCTTCAATGTACAGTTTGACCCAGAATTGCCACTCCCTGAACAGGAGCTGATTCCCTAAGCCAAGATAGCAGAATAACAGCCTTAAGAACAGCTCAGTGTGAGGGGGTCGCTGCCAGCACCTGGCAGGCTGCTGG